GCAGATACTGAAGCAGAGGCCATAGAGGATTGCTGCTTACTGGCTTACTCCTCATGGCTTCCCCAGCCTACCCAGGGGTGAATCTTTCAAGTGAGCTGGACCCTCTTATATCAATCAAGAAAATATCCCACAGAATTGCCTACAGGCAACCTGATGGAGACATTTTCTCATTCGACGATCCTTTTTCAGACAACTCTAGTTTGTGTCAAGTTGACGAAAAACTAACCAATATACTTTGTAAAATTATTTTTTCATTATTAAAAACAGTCATCTACCACAGTGGCTCCTAATGCATGGTCCAGACCAGCAATATCTCTGGGTGCCTGTCACAAATCAAGTCCTTAGGTCTCAGTAAGACCTATGAAACTTGAATATCTGGGAGTTGGGCCAGTTTTACCTGATTCTCAGTTTTAGCTGATTCTAAAACATGTTAAGTTTGAGGGCAACTTCTCTAGCATGCTGTGCTTACCAGCCTGCATATGTTTTCTTGAAGTCAGAACCAGTGATTTTCTGCTAAACTGAGCATATAGCTGAAAATATAAAATAACCATTGTAGCTAAGCAATTATCTAACACTGCTATTCACATCAGTGAACTAATAGTTGCTTTGCTAAGCCAGAGTTTCTTGGGTTTTTGTTGTTGTTGAGACATGGATGTTCTTCATTTTGGGGAGATGTCCTATATACTGTAGGATGTTTAGCAGCATCCTGGGTTCTACCTGTTGGGTAACAGTATACTGTGATGGTGAAAGATGCCTTATGGACCCCAAAGGGGTAGGTAGGAGAGGGGGAGTTCACTAATAGCTAAACCACTGGATAACTTAGTTCCTTATTAACTGATGATGTTATCCATGGTGCATTTTTTTTCTTCCTGGCAGAAGAAAAGTCAGCTATTAATTGACAATAGAAATTTAGTTTTTGTGTTTGTTAACAATTATGAGAATTATGGTTTAGGTTCACTTTTTTTTTCCTGTTTACATCATATGTATAGTAAGAAGTGTCAGCCCCTGAAACATTACTGCTTTGTTAATATCATATTGCTATCAAATCAGTGATGACATGATTTTCTGTTGTTAAGCAACTTGTTCATTTTATTTGGATACCGAAATAATTTTATTTTCTTTAAAATTCAACAGCTTATCTAAGTGCTGGTTGCACTGTATTGATTGCTTGGAACTATGGAATGCTCTTTCATTTTTTTTTTAATTTCTAAAACTTATTTTAAAATTTGTGTGTGTGGGTGTTTTACCTTTGTGTGCACTACATGTGTCTTTGAGGCCTGTGGGGGTCAGAAGAGGGCATTAGATTACCTGGAACTGGAGTTGCAGATGGAAATGAGCCACCATGTAGGTGTTGGGAATCTTACTTGGGTCCTCTGCAAGAGTCACAAGTGCTGTTAACCAATGGGCTATCTCTGCAGCCCTTAATTAAACATTTTTAATATTTACTTAATTATTTTATTTGCTTTTGGCCATGACATGTATGTGGAGGCCAGAGGACAACCTTGTGGAGTTAGTTTTCTCCTTTCACCTGTATATAAGTTCCAGGGATTTAAAATAAGTCAGACTTAGAGGTGATTGCCTTTACCTGCTGAGCCATTTTGCCAGCCTTTAAAGAATGTTTTCTTTGACCATTTCATACATGTTTACATACAGTGTACTCTGACTGTGTTCTCTCCTCCTGCCTCCCTCCCTTCTTCATACAAATGTTTTCCATATTCACGACTTTTGTTTGTTTCGTTTGTGTCCCCGCTGAGTTTAACTTGTCAGGTCTGTTTGACAATGGGATTGAACTATTCTCTAGAGCCTCCTAGGCTCAAAAGTGGGCAGACAACTGGATACTGTGGCTCCTTCCTCCCAGAATGTTAGTTGCCAGTAGTTTATCAGTAAGTGGTAGGGTCCTTTGAGCCCCTCCTCACCCATATTTTTTGTTAGTGGGCCGAGTCTTATCTATGTCCAGTGCCTGTGTCTTAGTGTTCTATTGCTGTGAAGAGACACCATGACCAAGGCAACTCATAAAACAAAACAAAAAAACATTTAATTCAGGGCTGGCTTACAGTTTCAGAGGTTTAGTCCATTATCATCATGGAAGGGAGCATGGCACATGAAGGAAGACAGTGCTGGAAAAATAGCTAAGAGCTACATCCTGATCCATAGGCCAGGAGAGAGACACTGAGCTTGGCATGGGCTTTGAAACCTCAAAGCGAACCCCCAGTGACACATTTCCTCCAACAAGGCCACACCTCCGAACCCTTCCAATCCTTTCAAATAGTTCCACTTCCTGGTGACTAAGCATTCAAATATATCAATCTATGGGGGCCATTCTTATTCAAGCCATCAGAGCCAATTTTAAAAATATTTTTAACTTAAATGAAATTCCTTGCTTGGTTTTCATGTTTGAATTCCTCCTATCAGCATATCTTATTTTTGTTCATTTTATGTATTACATTTTCTCATATCCTTTTACTTTCAAATCTTTTATTTTTATATTTAAAATTCTTCCTTTTCTCTTCAGCAGTGATTGTTTCTTCACCTTTTTTTCTAGTTGAATTCATTTTCCAACTTCCTGCTAAGTTCTCTCTCTCTCTCTCTCTCTCTCTCTCTCTCTCTCTCTCTCTCTCTCTCTTTTTTTTGAGAGAAGACAGGATTTCTCTGTGGCTTTGGAGGCTGTCCTGGAACTAGCTCTTGTAGACCAGGCTGGTCTCGAACTCACAGAGATCCACCTGCCTCTGCCTCCTGAGTGCTGGGATTAAAGGTGTGTGCCACCACTGCTGAGTCCCTGCTGAGTTCTATCACCTAAGTTTTACATTTTGATAATTAATGATGACTGTGATGTTTTTGTGTCTTAGGCATTTTCTTAATTTTCTTCTGTAGACAAATAGTAGGTTATAGTTATATGTTTTGTGGGCTCTGTCTTTTGTGATAAGGACTATTAGTCTTTGCCTGACTTTCTCTTTAAACACATACACACACACACACACACACACACACACACACACACAGAGAGAGAGAGAGAGAGAGAGAGAGAGAGAGAGAGAGAGAGAATTATAATCTTTAATCCCTGAAGGTATGGTTCAGGATATCTTCCTATTTGCAGGGTTTTAGAGCCTTTTTGTTAACTTTTGTAGTGTTGAACATTGGATGTTTTGCTTTTTGAGGTCCAAGTATTCAAACACATGAGCCTATACTCACATTTAAATCACAACAGTAGTATATTTGTTTATGTGGCTGATGTAACACATTACCACAAACTGGGTAACCTGAAACAACTAGAAATATTGTTTCCATAGTTCTGTAGATCAGAAGCCCCAAATCAAGAAACCAGTGGAACTCTGGAGGTGCACCAAGTTTTGGCTCTCTTAGCTTAGCATAACCTGGCTTGTGGCTATATCACTCCCATCTCCAGTTTTGTGGTCAAATTGCCTTCATCCTGCCCTGTGTTTTCCTCTAGGTAACTCCTTTATACTTGAATGTTACTAGACCTAGATAATCTAGAATGATTCATTTCAGGGTCCATCCATTTCAGGATTGGCATGTAGACATATTTTTGGGGTTACCTTTCAATCTATGACAAGTAATTTTTGGGACAACATTAGTTTCTACCTTCTGACCATCTTCCTAGATTAGCATAGTCCCCAATTTCTTTCTTTCTTCATTGTTTCTTTAAAAATCTACTTATAAAGGTAAGAACAGTGAAATGACTGTGATACCCTCTATTCCATATTCTGCTGTACCAAAATAGGCTAACACTGGAAAAAAAAAAAACCTACAGAATTCTGAAGAAACAAACATATTACTTAAAAAAACTATTTGAAAACCTTATACTTAAAGCTCACATACATTTCATAAAACCATCAATAATTCTTGTCATAGTTACTTTTTTGTTGTTACATAAAACACTTTAAGAGAAAGAGTTTCCTGGGCTCCTACAGTTTCAGAGGATTAGATTCCAGGACCATCATGGTGGGGAATATGGCAGCAGGCAGGCATGGCATGGTGCTGGAGCAGTATCTGAGAGCTAACATGTTGAAACACAGCCTTAAGGCAGAGAGGGAGACTCAGAATGGCTCTTTTGAAACCTCAGAGCCCACCTCCAGTGAAATGCTTTTTCCAACAGGGCCACAAGGCCTAATGTTTCCCAAACAGTTCTACTAACTAGGGACCATATATTCAAATATATGAGTCTATGGGGGCCATTCTTCTTCAAATGACCACAGTTCTATTTGAAGAGAAGTAAAAATAATTTTAATTTATTAATAGTATGTAAATAAATAAATGTTATGCCAGAAGCATTCAATGTGTTTGGTATGTGTTCAGAACAGGTGGCATTTCCCTTTGGTATCTGACATGCTTGCAAAACTTCTATCACTCAGGCTGTACTTGAAAGAAGTTTTTGTAGTTCATGGAAATGTTTCTTCCAGAAGAATTTGAATATTTCCCAAAGTACTTAGGCCTCTAGAAAACCACAGAGATTATTTTGGGAACAAAGCCTTAATGCATGCTAGGCCAAAAAGGCATGTATAAACAATGTCCTAGTAGCCTGTAAGAGCTTTGAGTGTATCTTTCACAAGTTTCTTGCAATTCACAAAGACAGTCTCTACAAGTCATTTCAGTGCATTCAACATTGTGTTTTTGCTTAGATTATTTTAGTTGTTGTTATAATTAGTATTTTACTATCTTTTGTTATTATATATTTCATAAAGTATAGTAAGCTGTCACATCACAGAGCAAAATGTGATAGAATCTTAAAGTATTAAGATTGTTGACACTTTATGACATGTATGTAAACAGGAAATTTTACTTCAACATAACTGTAATGTCCACATGTATTTGTTATAAGATTATTTAATAAAATTTTATATTTGGTTTTACTTTTGTATCTCAATGATGTATTTAAAACATTGTAGAAAGTCATTAGAATCTGTCATTTTTTCAAATTAATCCATTAAATTAAAAATTCAGCTCCTAATTTTAAATTTAAAAATTTGCATTTTCCTTATAAGTGCTGGTCAAGATATCCAAGGAACAAGTGTGATTGCAAATCTTCCACTTTTGATGCGACAGAATCCTACCGAGACACTCCGGAGAGTCTTACCCAAAGTCAGAGTAAGTTGGTATGAAATAAGATTTAAGTTTCTCTTTTTTTCTCTTCTTCCCCAAGTAGTATGTTGTCACTATTGAGAGAAAATATCAGAGTTTTGATAGCTTATATTTTACACCTACTAATAGAGTAGAAGAAATGTTATTATGTTTATTTTAAATTGTGATAGAATATTTAGGAAAATTAGTTAAAAAGAATTCCTTGGTGATTTTCAGTAAAGACATTTTAAAGGTAGATTTTTAATAGCTTAAAAATTTAATCATCTTTATAAAATTATAGATATATCATTTGATACTGTTTTTAAAAATTAGCACACTAATTTTATGTCTTCACTACTGATAGTCAATAACTAAGATCCTGCATGATGGGCTTGTGGTGACTTCTGAGGAATCCTCAAATGAAGTTCATTATGATCATCACAATTTTTAGTTTACATGGATTTCATTCCTTCCTAACTTTCTTGAGAATTAGTTTCATGCTGTAAACAAAGTTTTCTCTACTGTCACATTTCTCTGCAAGTACATAATGCTTATTGATTATTAGTATATCATGCTAGATATTTAATAATTAATATTTATTATTTATTCCCACCTGTATGCATGCAAATAACTCCTTTCTAAAAAACAAGTATTTTGTGAGCAGCCCAGACAGTAGTCTTTGTGTTCTATAGCACCTTAACCACTAATGGGACCAGAGGTTGCCTGCTATTGAAGACAATATTTACTAATAGTGAGTTTTATTTACTTACCTTCAGTTTTCCATTTGGTTATAACTATTTACAAATTAATTTATACATATTTAAAAACTATAATCATTAGCCTATCTTTGAGTTTTGTTTTTTTTTTTTTTTTTGGAATTCTTTTTAGCATGGTTCCAACTTATGTCATTTTCATAAGAAGTCCACATTTCTATTAGACAGTAGGAATTCTTACTGGCTACCATAGTGATTCATGAGTGCATTAAGCTTTATTATGTCTTTTTTCCAGAATCATGCCTAATTTTGAAGTGAGTAAACTTATATAGATCAAGCCTACTTGTACATTTAATTTTGGTAGTGTTAACTGACCTAACATTGTTATGACAGCCAGAGGCACCACTTAAATGGTAGAAAGGAGTTCATGTAAGTAAGAAAATTAATTTTAATGTAAAAAATGTCAAGCATTCTGCATACTGTGTTGAGTTGGCTAAGTCTGGTTCACAGAGATCAGACTGAGTGTCCAAAGTTCGAGCTTGGTTCCCAAAGAGGCCAAGAGAGGTTATTAGGATCTCCTGGGACTACAGTTATAGATAGGTGTAAGCTGCCATCTGGGTTCTGGGATTGAATCCAGGTCCTTTGCAAGAGCAATCATCTTTCATCCCCTAGCATCCAGTTGCATAAAACAAGAATAAAGGGTGAAAAGTAGACAGTAGAAACCTTTGGAGGTTCTCAAATAGTTCTGTCAAATTTGCTAATGTGCTCAGAGTGAAGGCAATTAAGTAACTCCTAAGAAACTTTGCATGTGTGGGGACCTGGGTTCATTTCAGCATCAAAACACCTCCCTTTTAAAAAAGAAGAAAGGAAAATATGCATTCATTTCATATATACAGTGTATTTATACACAATTTCAAATGTATCTTCTGAAACTATAAGGTATGCTTGAGTTATAGAAGATATGTTGCTTTTTGTTTTTTGAGACAGGGCTTCTCTGTATAGCCCTGGCTATCCTGGAACTCTCTGTAGACCAGGCTAGTCTCAAACTCAGAGCTCTGCCTTCTTCTCTTTCCTGAGTGCTGGGATTAAAGGCATGTTTCACTATGTCTGGCCGAAGATATGGTTTAATACAGAACATTAACTGATTAATTGGATTCAAAACAAGTATCCAGTAATGAATTTGTTTTAAGAAAATTGTTATTTATTGATGAATGATTTCCTTCTATTTTATTTAATTAATTAGTTTCCAGTCAGAATCTCATTTAGCCCAGGCTGGTGTAGAACTCAGTATGTAGCTGAGGATGACACTGAGCTTCTGTTGATTCTCCTGCCTCCATGTCCCGATCACTAATATCAGAGAATTACATCCCCAAGCCCAGTACTGGGGCTCGAACTTGGGGCTTGTGAAAGCTAGGCAAGTACTCTTCCACCAAGCTATAACTCCAGCTCTTCATTCTTTCTTCAGGATAGCTAGTAAGCAAGCATTTGTTAGGACCTCCATCTCTCTTGCCTGCACTATTTGAAGGAGATACAAAAAAGGTAGCTTGGTCTCAGGTGGGACCCCACATCAGGAAAGTTCTTAAGTCATGCAGTTGGGTGAAGAGTCAGCATCATGCAGTAGAGTACTGTGTCATTCTGACTTTGCATAAAAACATTCAAGTGAAGCACAGGAGATAGACTCTATGGGGCAACAGTGATGAATATGCTTTTGTAGACAGCTTCATACACAATGGATGATGGCCAAACATTTATCAGTGCATTTTAACGGTGAAACTATGCCTATTTGCAGACTATTTTAAAATCACTGTGCTCAAAGAACATGAAGGTATTTGAGGCTGGCACATTTTCAGGTCTACCTGGCTTGTTTCAGTGATAAGCTGTGATAATATATTTCTCATAGTTGGTTTGTTCACCTTGCTATCCTGGTGATTTCTTAGTTAATTTTGTGGCAAACCCACATTGTATGCCACAGTGAGCATTCAGTAATTATGGCATTTATGCTCACTTGTATTTATTTACTGGGCACTACTTGCCAGGTGCAAGGCATAGTTGTAAACACTGATGTAGAGATAAATAAAAGACAGGGAACTTGTTGTTTAGAAGGCTGTAGTGCAGAGGTGACCCAGACTTTAACAAGTAATCAAACAAAAGGCTGACTGTCACTTGTGACAGTGCCCTGAATGTAAAAGACAAAACAAAACTGGGACACCAAGACAAAGTAGTAAGTTAGCAGGAGACCTTCCATGAATTGAGAGGACAAGAAGAGCTTCTTAGCAAGACTGTGGCCAAGACAGCAGCAGGTGGCCTGAGATGCAAGAACCTCATGAAACAGAGGTTAAGTGTGGTTGGGGCTAGTAGGAGGGGTAGAAAACAGGCTAGACAAATGTCAATGACCTTGGTTTTGAAGACAGTGGAAAGCTATTGGAGACTTTGAACATTAGAGTTACTTAATCCATTTACATCTTGTGCCATTTTGATTAATGTATAGAGCACAGACTAGATAGAGTGAGACAGTTACAGAGCTTAAGTACTGGGCCTCTAGGAGTCAATGGCAGGTTGGATTAAAATGATGAATTAAAGCAGTGGACTGGTGTGCATATGTGTCTCAGTTGAATTTATCAGGCAGGATGAACAGAATTCCATAATGGATTAGAGTGAATGAATTCCATTTGGGTTGGGGTTGGGAGCAGCTTCCAGATGGTGGGTGTGAGCATCTGGTGGTTTTCAGTGTGTTATAGAAGGTCTGTTGAGTCCTTAGGTGATAATAATCTGAGTACTTGATAATATTGGTCTTTCATGATTCACTTTGAGAAAACTTAAAAATACAAATAATAAGTATTTCATGCAGGAAGCAATTATTCCCAAGGACATTATCATATTTGTGATTCCAGATTACCTTGCTTCACCTTAAAGAACATGAGAAAAAGTGATGTTGTCCTACACATTATAAAATTATACTGGTGACATTTTGCTTTTTTAAAAAACAAATTTGCATTTAATCATGACTACTGTGTCTTAATTAAAATATATTTTAAAGGCTACTATTTTCACTGTTTTAGAGTTGAAGAATTTTGACCCCCATCCTTTTTTGAGACAAGATCTCTCTAGGTAGTCCTAGCTGTTCTGGATTTTTCTATGTAGACAAGGCTGTCCTCAGACTCATGAAGATCCTTTTGCCTCTGCTTCCCAAGTGCTGGGATCAAAGGTGTGAACCACCAGACCTGGCCAAGATGAAGAAATTTAAGCTTTAGAACAGCAGGGGCTGGAGAGATGATTCCAAGGTTAGGAACGCATACTGCTCTTCTAGAGAATCTGAGTGGTTGGAAGCACCTAGTCAGGATGGCTTACAACCATTTGTAACTCCAGCTCTGAGGGGTCTGATGCCTTCTTCTGGTCTCTGTGGACACTGCACTCCTGTGCATACATGTGCGCACATGCACATGCAAACACACACAACTAAAAATGAAATAAAAAACATAATAAAAATAAATATTAAAATGCCAGCAACAAATTAGGATTATAATTGACCTCATTTCATTTATTTCCAAAATTTCCTTTCTAAACAGGAGTGAGAAGAGAAGGTGGAAGTATATAATAGATGATAAAAGAGACATAGTATATTAAATCAATATGAAATTTGGTTATTAAAGTTGGTAGGTATAATATAGCAATATTTTGATTGTGCAAAGATCCACCACTTCTACTTTTACTACTGTTTGTGACTTTATTTTCGTGAGTAGTTACAGTAAGAAATACCTAAAATATCTTTCAATATAAATAATACAGCATTTTGTACTGAATAGAGATAGGTTCTTAAATGATCTCATTTTGAATTTGATAAGAAAGCATTTACTTTGCAAATGAAGATATTTGTGAATGAAAAGTTGAATGCATTTTTGAAGAAGCCTTATTTGAAATAGTACACTTGAATGGACAAACAATAATGATTTGTAGAACACTTAATGTGGGGCAGGTGCTGTGCTTCATGCCTTAAGCAATTGTCAGCTCCATTTGATGTATTATACCCATTTAAACCTGAGGAAATGTGCCCTTAAAGCTCAATGTTTGACTGTAATGCTTTGTTAGGTTTCTAAGAAAAATGAAAGAATATAATTGGTTTTGATAGTTCTCTGAAATAACGTCTTAACTAAGGAATAAGCAAATACAAATGAGCACTACAAACTGCTATTTTCTTTGGTTTGCATCTCAAGAAACGTTCCTCTCTTCCTCACCACAGTTGGCATTTCAGAGATAAAAGTTTAGATTCCGAGAAAAGTAAAAGGGGTTTATGAAAGCGGTACAATTATACATCTG